CCTACAGGAAAGGTTTCATATAATGTGACTGAAGTCCCCTGGAAAACCAGTAGATTTTTGTGGAGGGCATTCCAGAGGAAGGATTTATCCAGGAAATCAGGTATTGAAAATCCACTTCAGGATTGTGCCATACTCCATTCTTTCCAGAGTGACACAATTTCACAGCTGTTACTACCTACACTGGCAGTAAATTTGCCCTTGTGCTTTAGCAAGACATATGTAGCAGAAAGCCTATTCAAACCTATCCTTTTAAAGACATTAATCTTATTAAAACAGTGTTTACTTCCCATCTGCCAAGGATAGAAAACAGCATTAGGACTTAAACATGAAACAAGACTGCACAAGTGAAGCGATCAAAATGATAAGCACTACAGTGCTTCATGGAGGAAGCTTCAGGGGCTGTGGTGGCTAATTAGACTGACTGGCACATGCTGAACCTTATCTGTTCACACCCAGGCCCGACCCAGCAGGAAAGTCTCTTTTACTCTTTTCTTTTTAGAATTTCTCCTTTCCAGTACCTTGGTAAGAGGCGTCTGCTGTTCCCCCTCCGGACTCAGCTGCATAATTCCTTCTCCTAGCTGAGCGGTTTGAGTGATGAGCTCCTGCAAGAGTAAGGGCAAACGTTACTCCTGGAAAAACCATCCTGTCTCTTAAAAGCAATCCTCACGGGAACGGAGCACTGCAGAACAGCAGGGAAGGGGGACCCCATGGCCAGGGCTGGCCGCAGAGCCCGGTCAGGTGCAGGTGCCTCCTGCCGATGCCTGCACCCTTCCTTGCCCCAGGAGCCGGAGCAGAGGTGTAGCAGCCAGGTGAGGTCCACCCAGTGCATGACACTGGGGAGGGAAGGCAGCTCCTGGCCCCGACTGTTAAAGGAACAGTAAACCTGTCTCCTGTAAACACACCTTGCCATTAATCTTTCACCTTCAATCACATCTCTATGCTATTTAATACTTATTCTAAGGTTGCATAGATGACATTTCTAAATTAAGAAAAACCCCAAATACGTAAAATGCTTCCTTTGTAAATGAACTCTTACTTCCCTTCCTTCCTGTGAGTTGCTTTACTTTTTAAATGCTGGTAATGAGCTCTTGAAGTACAGATTTTCTTCTTCCTGTGCATTTAAAGTCAATGATAGGTCCAAAAAGTGGTACCAACTTTACACTAAGCATAAACAGCTGAGATCCCAGGTGCCTGGCAATGCTCTGCACCCTTCTTACCTGAGACAAAACATGATTTTTCTCCATTGTGGTAGCTGTCACACACACATATCCCGTGTCAGCTGTAGCAATGCAATTTCACATCTCCCAGCTTGCACAGACACCAGTAGTATAAATGTCTCATATGCAGGTGAGCAACCAATTTATAAACTGACTCAGAGCCCCACCTCTGCCAATTTCTTAAACCCAGCTATTCCCCTCCCATTTCTTAAGCTAGGAAACTGAATCCTGTGGTCAAATAAGTAGGAAAAATACCTTTGCCTGTGAAATAGCTGGAAGTATGCTCTTTAGTCACTTAGCCCAATAGTGGCCAGTGACAGATGTATAGCTAATGGCAAGAGAAGAATGCTCTTTTAGCTAAGCATTAAACTTCCTACTCAGCAAGACCTCAAAGCCTACAGAAATACATACTGTGTAATAAAATCCATCAACATTACTTTAACTGGCTTTAAGTCATCTGTGATAGTAAACAGGATAAAAGAGGTAATGAAAAAAAAAAAAAAAGGGACAACACTATTGCTCTCAGACTAAACAGGTTCTTGCAAAAGCCTGTTTAAGCATTTCTGTACCTCATGTACCAACAATCCCAGGTCTAGGTGTGCAGGGCAGACATACTTATATGTTGGTTTATATCTACTCAGCCTTGGTCCATCAGGGCTAGGTTTCTCCTCAGATCATTGTAGTATTCTCCCCTTCTTTGCTATGTCTGGTTTGGGGTTTTTTGGTTGTTGTTTTTTTTGTTTGTTTGTTTGGGTTTTTGTTTGTTTTTTGTTGGTTTTTTTTGGTTGAAGTGTCCCAAAGCAATGACTTTTCTTAGCTTAGCTCCACCCCCTGTGAGTACTTCTGCACCACTTTCCAGTTCAGACTGACTCTGGCTGTAATTTAGCTGCGTTTAAGTACCCATGTCTGACCCAGTGAACCCTCTGCACATCTGCAGAGCCTCCGCCCTTTCAGGATGCCTCTGCCTGCCAGCAACACCTATACCACAGCTCCCAGCTCACTGGAACAGGGTTAAACAGGGCCATCAAAGACTGTTGTATCTTCAGTAGGTCAAAACAGATCAAAACAGCTGGGGGAAGGGAATCTTTTGGCTTCCCTGCTCTCCTGGTATACTGTCTAAAAGCAAGAAGTTACCCCTTCCCTGAGAAATCTTGAGCTTACTGGTCAAATTTTGTTGCCAGCCAGCACAGTTCCCCTTTGTGCTTTCCATGCAAAATAATATCAACGATCATCACAGTCAACTTCATGGAATGAATTTTTCTATAGGCTGTTATTTCACAAGCCTGAAAAGAGTTGCATCTACATACATGGCATATTTCCTCCATGCACCAGCTGCAATTATGTAGCTTGATGAAAAGCATTTTTTGTTAGGTCACAGAAAACCTTCAGCAACATTGGCAACCTTGGTTAAAGGTGATATTTTATTGTGTCATCTCTTGGGAGGGCTAAGCTATAAACCAGACTGTCCCACCAGGACTGGGGCTATGAGACTGTCACTCCCACAGTGCTGGTGGCCAAGAAGCTCTCATTTTCACAAATAACATTTGCAATCCACATCCGAGAGAACCCTTGCAGGAAGAAGGGACTGTGGCTTACTTTGTACCCCTGCAATCCATCTCAGAGACATTCCTTTATCCACAATATTTGCAGCAAATATTTGGTACGCTCTCATGCTTTGGGCAGAGAAAACAACAGTTTTGTTTTCCTGGAACAAGGAACATACTGTGAACCTGGAGAGTATTACTGAAATGCCTGAATATGTGGAGCAAGGAAGAGAATTTCCATTTTGCAAACAAGCCTTTATTGTCCAGTATTGTATACATGAATTTATTTGCATGAAAATAACATTCTTCAGAGCTGGAGGTGGCATGAATTTATGGTAAAAAAAAAATCTTTGGTTTTCCACACCATGGATTTTAGGAATGGAGGCAAGTCCCAGGTTTGTATGCAGAGCACACAGCACCTTCTTTCTGACTATGATTACTGAAACTGTCATAGAACAAAAAAAACCCAGCAGAAGTGCTTATTTGTTTAAAACCTAAAGAGATTTAAATGGCAATACTTATGCTCTGATCTTTAGGCTTGCAACATTAGGCTACAGTTGCACAAAAAAGGTAAGTTTTAGTTTGACGTCATAAATGACAAAATTGTTGGCAAAAGTCACTGTGTCATTTGTCATGATAATTTGTTACTGTTTCTTGCTAAAACGAAGAACCTCCTCAGAGTGTCATTTTGCACTAAGCCAAACGTTATTTGACTGTAAATTAAATCTGTTATTTTCAAGTTGGGTTCCCTGGGCTGAAGAGGTAGGCAGTCTGTAAAAAAGAAGCTATGCATCAAAACAAAGACTTTTGGTAAAACATTAACATGAAATGTTTCAACTTACCCTGGATTTTTGTAGCCAGAGATTATGATACCTAATTGATAGATTATTTTTTCCCACCACTGAATAGGTTATTTGTTAACATTTTCTCAGTTGTCATTAGGACACAAAATTGATTTAAAAAGTGTATTTTAAATTTTACTTGTTCTGGAATGCAGTGGTTGTTGTTTATTTATTGTTTTTGCATCATCAGCACCTTCAACAGTTCAGGAAAGACACTTTCCTTAAAATGGAAAATGAGAAAAGTTTAAAAATGCAAACCCACAACAAATATTATTGATGGTTTTGTGCTAGATGCCTTGGAGGCTCTGTCCAGATTGTTCTAAGATGGTCTTAATTGTTGCAGACTAGTGTCTCACTCCTGTACAGTTTGAACAGGCAAAAGTAAACATACCAATGTTTTTGTTGATGAGGATATGTCCTAAATGGATTTAACAAATTGTGTTGAGTAAAACAACAACATTTTCATTGTCTAGTGGAAGTAGAAACTTTTCATTTGAAGCACTGTTTCTTTTTAATTTGGGACAGGAAATTTAATATGAGAAGTAACTCACCTGGGGGAAAAAAACTCCCAGTGTGTTTTATTTTGAAAGCTTCAAAAGAAAATGTTGACTTTTTATTATACTGTCTTCACACAAAACCACCCAAACTGACAAATTCACAGGAAAATCTAATGTGTCCAAATTACACCTTTTGCTGGAAAAAAACGTTTACAGGAAAAATCTTACACCACTTCCTCCTAAGTTGCTCCATCCCATCTATATATGATTCATTCACAGCCCAAGAGTGCTGAGGTGGTGGACACAATTCACAGGGCTAGCTGTGTGCTCACACTAGTCCCTATTACATTTCCAACCTCTTTCACTGTTCTTCAGGTCACTTGCAAAATGGAGTCAACCCATGGATCCAAGCCAGGTTCCAGTCATGTCCCAGCTTTTCATCATTTTCCAGGGTTGGATGCGCTTCATGTTCCACAAAGAAGAATTGTGGGGAGCAGAGGTTTATACCCCCTTCTTACGGCCTGTAGGTGTGTTGGCTGGGTTGTATTACTGTAGCACTGTGGTGGTAAAAAATGGTTTTCCTATATGCCATACATCATAATAAGTTAGGCTTAAAATAACTCTATTTTAAATATCTAACAAGGATTTTAAGTACAGAGTGTTGTTCTACAGACAACCTTAATTTAGGGAACTAAGCCTATGTAAAAATTCCCCAGGCAATATCTTTGCCTGTAGAGGCCACTTCTTGGGAATGAAAAAAAAAACCCAACAAACCACTAAACCACCCGGGGTAGTTTAATTCTGGAGTGAAGAACGGCCACTGTTGAAAAAGCCATGTCCCTTCTGTGTCCCAGAGCATGAAATACTCCTCTGAGAAAACAGGTGCAGTTGCACAGGTGATTAGCACGGGTTTTGACTTCTTCTTTGCATTGCTATCTGCAAGGCCTGCATAATCATCTGTGAGTTGTTCAGGATGTTGTATTCACTGAGGTTCAGCA